AGGGCTTGATTGTTTGCTAAAATGGTCCATTTAGCGATTCACAGAGGAACAGCCATGCATGCCTGAAAAACATAGGAGCGGTTACAGGAGTCACCCCCTACTGTCTGTGACATCAAGGAGTCCAGCTCCCAACACCACATACCCTTTTCCCTCCGTACCTCCCTCAGACATTCTGGGGCTCTGTCGATGTGTCTGTCTGTCTGTCTGTCTGATCCCTTCCCTTACCCAACTTTGGTTCTGCTCTAGAAGAACAGAACAGAATGTAGCAAGAGGGCTGGTCTGAGAGCCCTAGATCCCAGCCTTGGTTCCACCACTAACTCTCTGTGTGGCCTTAGCAAACTCATTTCCTTTTCTCTGCCCCAGTTTCCCCACCTGTGAAAGAAGGAACTTCGACTCTGATGCTTGGAAGGTGTTTTGAACTGAGACACTCCTAGGACAAATCTGAGCCCTTTTTCCAGAAGATCCCTTCAAATGAGAAAAACAGAGGCTGCAAGTCATCTCTTGGTGTCTCCAATAGACTCCCCTGACCAGCATGTCCCAGGATCTCCAGGGAGACCTCCTGGATCCCTGAGATGCTCCTGCCTGGGTAGGGTGGGATGTGAAGGGTTAAGCAGTCAGTGCTGTGCACGACCAAACCTCTCAGATGAAAGACTGGTCCCAGAGAACGCCATGTGGCTGTTGTGGTTGGCAGGCCGGGGCAATGGGACCAGGCTAGGTCCCGAAGGAAATCCCCTCCTGGTCTCACCAGAACAAAGTGGTGTTTTACGAAAACGCCATTGTTCTTGGGCAAGTCTTTCCCATCTCAACATAAACCAGGAAGCAGTGCTTCCTTTCCTTGGGCGAGACCCCAAGGTCCCCCCCACCGGTTGATGTGGGGGGAGAAGAACAGAGTTTTTCCTGGCTGGAATGATCTGCCACAAAGCCCCTGCCCAGCGATAGCCAAGGGTCCCCAAGGCTGGTGTGTGTGTATGAGCACGAGGGGCAGGCACATGTGTATGTGTGATGGAGTGAGGAGAGGAGAGGAAGCAAAGGGACACTCAGCCCAGTCTCTTGACTCCAAACAGAACTCTGTAGCAGGAGCCAGACTATGAAAGAGGTACCACTGCCCATCCATCTCCCCGCACCCCTGTGCCCATCAGGCTTTCTTTTGTGCCCACCAACGTGGCAATCTTGTTTCCCCCTATGGCCTTTGCACGTGCTGCAACCTCTGCCTGGAACTCTCAGCCCTTCACACACTTGCTCCTTCTCATCACGTTGGTCTCTGTTCTAACATCATTGAAGACATAACTCTTGAATTACTTGCTCGGTGTCTGCCTTTCCTGACTCCATGAGGTCAAGGATGAATTGTGTCCATCTTGCTCATTGTTGCATCCCCGGCATCTACCATACGATAACCCCAGTGTGTGTATGTGTGTGTGTGTGTCTGTGTGTGTGTATCCCCACATTCACATCACCATCCCCACCCCATATAGAAAACAGGTCACAGCAGCCTCTCAGGCAAGGAAACCAAACCCAAGCTGGAAAATCAGGGGCTTTCAGCCCTTGGAGAGCAAGCATCCTGTGTAAACACTCCATTTTGCTGAAGGGGAAACCGAGGTGCAGAGCCTGGAAGGTCGTGGCCATTGGTCAGTAGGAACTGCTGAGCTAGACTCCAGGTCTCCTGATGCTAGAGCTGTCGGATAGGACTTCTTACCGGCTTTCCAAGCTTGGGCACAGCCTGGTGCTATTTCTCTCACCTCTTCAGATGCAAAACCCGGCTCCTGCCACAGCTGAAATGTGCTCAACATGCCTTTCCCACCTCCCTGAGAACTGACTTGCTGAAAATCCAAAGAAAGATCCAAAGAAATCCCTCCATGGGGCTCAGAAACTCCCTCCTCACCATCATGATCCCTGAATTTCCGTCTATCATGTTTATCAAGAGAAAGGTGAAACTACCCTCTGGGCATCCCTAGTGACCAGGGAGGCAGTTTTCTGGCTTTCTGTGCCTTGATACTTCATTTTTTTTCTTTCTTGCAATGAATACTTCTGTTTTTGTTTCTATAGCTTTTGCTTGAACAGGGAAGGCTTCTTTGTTTAAATCTTTGTGGATAAATAGAGAAAGAATATTAATACCTCTTTGTAGGAGTTGTTGGGAAGATTAAATAGGACGCTGTCCCAGGACAAGTAGATGCTTGATTAATGCCAGATCGTTTCCAAAGTCTAAAAAGCTATGTAAACACAAGGAAGTTACTTTCTAGGCAAGGAGTATTTACAGATTGTTCCTTTTAAAAATGTGTGTTTAGGCCTTCTAAGGAAAGGAGGCAGAGTCCCTTTTAATAAGAGTTCCCCTGAGGTTGGCTAGGCTGGGAAGTGTTAGCTTTTTTTTTTCTATTCTTTGCAAAAATAATGTATATTCCCAGGTAAGACATGAAAGCAAGCATACCAAGTAGAGATGATTGATACTAATTCCAGTTCCCAAAGAGACAGAGGAGCCTGCTGTGTTCATTCCATTCCTTTGAGGCTCCTAGATTTATCTCTTATCCCAGGCTAGTGGAAAGGGCATAAACAAATGGACTTTGTGCCTCTAGGCAAAGCAAGATAGGGAACAGATAAAATTCCTCCCAGATAAATTCAGATAAGCAGCTAGTAAGGGATTTAACCACCACCCACCACCCATCACCCACCCCTGGGTGGGGAAGAGGGGGATGCAAAGAGGGCTCTTCTCCCACCTCAAGTACCTCTCAGAAAACCAAACAAAAAACTGTGGTTTCTTACCTGACAAGGAACAGCGGTTAGATTTCAGCCTTGACCCTTGAATTTCCCATGGAGATGCAGCCTAACCTGCAAGGGGGCTATGAGTTTGCAGTCACAAGCTCAAAGCTGCCTGTGATTCTTCCAAATAAAAACTAACAGCGGGAGGGGGGTTCAGGATGGGGAACACATGTAAATCCATGGCTGATTCATGTCAGTGTATGGCGAAAACCACTACAATATTGTAAAGTAATTAGCCTCCAACTAGTAAAAATAAATGGAAAAAAAAAAAACTAACGGCGCATCTCTTTATGCTATGCTGATGGAAAATTCCAGGCCCATTATTAGTGGGAAGCTCTTCTCTGTTGTAAGGAGGCACAAGGGTCTGAAAGGCTTAGGTTATGTCCAAAAAACAAGGGAACAACCTCTGGAGCTCTTTGTAGCTCCAAGTGTGGTCTGAAGACTGGCCTTATCAGAGTCCCGGGGAGCCTGTTAGAAGAGCAAAAATCTCAGGATCCACTCCAGGCTGGCTGAGTCGGAATCTGTGTTATATCAAGATCCCCAGGTGATTCACATGCATGTTAATGTTTGAGAAACACTGCAGACTATCTCCAAATACCCACTAGAGGCTGACAGCACTGTGGTTTTGGTGGATCAAAGGAACGTGGATGCCTGGGGCTGGGCCTCCTTAAGGGAACAACACAGCAGACACTGTCCTCCCTAATTCTGCTGGTTCCTCATTCCTCCCAGAACCTACCCAACCACCTCCCTTTCACTCCTCCTTCCCTGTCTTTCATCAGAGCCCTCTCCCTAATCTCAGGCTTTCAATCAACAAAAGCCTGAAAGACCAGTTATCTACAGGGGACTTGGAATTGCAGCTTCACCAACACCCCCTGAGATGATGGAGCACAGAGGTACTGGCTCTCTGCTCTCTGCCTGGCAGGGAGGATGGCCGGATAGGGAGGAGGGAGGAGGGAGGAGGAGAAGAAAAACCACCAACACAAATAACACCTCACTCCATTATCCTGCCACCCTTGTCATTCTTTAACTCTTGCTGTCAATTATATCTAGATTTAAGAGTGCAAAACAAAGGCTTATGCTGTAATTTTAATGGACTTGTTTTTAAGGGAAAAAATGAATCCCAGAATCCTAGGAATGATTACTTCTAAGACTCACAGGGACTTAATGTGCTCCTAGTTTAAAGATTAAAAAAGCTTTGTTTTTAGCATCAATGGAACATGTCTCCTGCCCTTCTTCTCTTTAATACACTTGGAGAATCCCACTGTGTAAAACAGAAATGAAGTTGCTTTAGTTGTCAGGTGAGGAGTACAGAACCCCAACTAGATGGTTTCTTCTCCCATACCCACAGCAGCCCTTGCAGTGAGGAAAGCAGACCACAGGATCAGTGGAGCAAGGGGTGAAGAACCAACCTCAGCCTACCGTCCACCCAACAATGGAAGTCACCTCCTGGTTCCATTACTCCCACCTCTGAACACTCACTTAGAGAGAAAATTCTCACAGGCAGCCAGACCCAATGCCCAGTTGTATCTAAGACTGGAATACACTTCCCAAGTAATACCCCAGTTTACTTCTCTGTCACTCTCACCCAGAAACTCCAGTTCTGTTTGGGGGGCTGCAAGCAACAGGTCTAGTCCCTCTCTCATATGATTTACAAAGCTGGAGTCTCCTAACCAGATGAAACAGGTGCTTAAACCTATGATAAATGGGTAAATGGATGAAGAAATAGCCAAATGAGAGAGTGGATTGGAGGTTGGAAAAGGAAGAAAGAGAAAGAACAGCTGAATGAAATACCCTCCCCACTCTCTTTTGGATATCCTGTCACTTGAAAACAGTCCTCTTAAAATGTGATGTGTGTAAGAAAAGTATAGCTTTTGGATCTGAACACAGTACTCCAGAAAGACCTTAACCTAGTGTTTTTCAAATCTGTGTAACTAGTAAAAATCAATTTAATGGTTCTCAATCATCAGTTTAAAGGAAGAACAGAATAGAAAAGAAAATACCATAAATCATCGACTGTTTCCTGCATCTCTTGTGTCTCCTGCACTGGCCGTCAGATTCTTTAACTACTGTGCCACCTGAGAAGCCCCAAATCCATGAATAAGGCATCACAATTACTCCCATTTTCAGATGAAAAAAATGAGACACAGATCAATTACTAACTTGCCTAAGGTCACCCAACCAGTAAATGGCAGAGCTGAGACTGAAACAGGATGGAAGGGTGAAGGCAAGAGGCAGTCTGATCCCAGAGCATGAACTTAGAACCTCTCCACTCCATGGATTCCAGAATAGAGACAAGCAAGCCATGCAGTCGGGGGGAGGGTAGTGCAGGACCAATCCTGGGACCAGGGACACCTGGAAGGGTTTTCCTCTCACACTAGACTCACATTCTCTTGCTATGCTTGGGGCACATATAGACGCCAGTGAACTCTAGTGGAAGGACCATACTGCTGATACTCTGGGTCATAAGAGGCAGTGTCCTACCTCACAGAATCAACCTGTTCCTTCTACCCTGGGCAGAGGGCTTCAACCAGCCATGTGAAGTCTGAGTTACCCTAAGATTTGGTCCATATTTCTCCACTGACTGGCAAAGATATGTGTGGAAGGCATTTCAAAAGCCTCAGCAGCAGCAAAATTGACCTCAGTGCTACTGGTGCCTGACAAGAAAATCGGTTCCTCCATAATCCATGTCACGTATTCTAAGGGATTCTTGATGCTTTAGCCTCATGGACACGCTAAGACTTTCTAGATCCTAAGTGCTTTATCAGACAAACACTATCACTGTCTCTCAAATGTATGCTACAAACACTCGGCATCTCAGAACGTCTCAACTTTTTCACTCTCGTGTCCCAAGTCTCCCCCTCCATTGTCAACCACAAGACAAATTTTAGCAGCACTTGAATCTACTCTACTATAAAGACAAGCCTATAATTTTGATGTATAAGGAACTGGGGTGTGGTAGTTTCCAGACCCTGGTTGATGAACTCTTTTTCTCTTCCTCAATGCAGTTCTTGTAACAGCAAAGTCTTATTTTAAGATTCCGTGTCTGTGGTGCTTTTCCCACAGTGTGCTCAGATAGTCCTTCCTAGAGGGGAAATCTGGAGAGTTAGGTATGCCTTGACCTACATGAACCCATCTTGGCTTCCAATAATCCCTTCTTAGAAAAGGAACTTCTGGAATTTTGCCTAGGATTATCATAAGCTCAATGTACCATGTTTTTCCCATGCTCAAATTGAGGCAGCATTTTTTTTTAAATTCCTTCCTGGAAACTCTCACCTCCCCAGAAGGGCCCCTGGAATGACCCATCTCTGCCCAGAGGGGCCTGGAACAAAGCGAAGGAAGCTGGGGGGCAGCTAAATCTTGAGCTTACTGGTAGCCGGGATTGTTCTGCTTCTCTGGTTTGAAGAGTGTTTTTCTTCATAGAGAAGGCAGGGTCCACTGGGTTATGTTCTGTTCTATAACATGCTGTTCTGTTCTATAAAGATTAAGCCTCTGCCTTATTTATTTTTTTTCCTCTCTCTTGTTCTCAACAGGGTTCAGAAAGTCTCTTCCATCTTCTTTAGGTCTCAGTGGTTCAGGGAGATGGGCCTCAGATATACCTAGGAAGTGTTTATCCTTTCCATGGTCTAAGCCCCAAATCTGGGGCTGGCTCCGAGGAGCCGGAGCAAGGGAGGATTGGGAGCCAGGCAGGCACCTGGCTGTGGCACGATCTGTTGGGGCGAGGGCCCATCAGTCATGACCAGGGGAGATACAGAGCTGCATCAAGGGAAGAGCATGAGGGGTATCCCTGGTGGGCCAGAGGTTAAGAATCTGCCTTGCAATGCAGGGAATGCTGATTCGACCCCTGGTCTGGGAACTTAGATTCCACATGCCTCAGGGCAGCTAAGCCCACGTGCCACAACTAGAGAGCCTGCATGACACAACGAAGATCCTGCATGTTGCAACTAAGACCCGAAGCAGCCAAATAAATAAGTATTAAAAAAAAAAAAAAAAAAAGGAAAGTCCATGAGTTTCGGAGCCCCACAGGCCCAGATTAATAATTCTGGTAACAACTTCTCCGCTCTCAGAATTGCTAGGAGGGTTAAATGAGATCTTGTTTGTTAACCCTATACATAGTAAGGATATAACAAATTGCAGTTGATCTCTTTTTAATTATTTTTTCTGTGATCTAAAGAGCCCTGATTATCCCAAACTCTCCAGCAAGCCTTCCGGGCCTACTGTGACTTCCCTGACCCCAAGAGCTCCTCCATCTGCCTCCTCCAGCACATAAACACCACAAGCCAGAGCAGGCTGGGCTTACTATGGCCCTGGCTCCCCAGTTCCCTAGCGATGAATCAGGCTTCTCAGATCTCTGTCCTTACAGATTTGGGCAGGGACTTCACCCAGCCATACTTGCATTAGAGGAGGAGCACTGGGCTTGGGGGACAATGGACTAGGGGCCCATCCCAACTCTCCACTGAAACTCATTGTGCTCAAAATAAGAGACACCGCTTCACTGGGTTGCCATGAAAGTTATTAAGGGTTATCGTTACCATCTTTTCAAATTCCATATATGCAAAATAGAAAAAGAGACACAGATGTATAGAACAGAATTTTGGACTCTGTGGGAGAAGGCGAGGGTGGGATGTTCTGAGAGAATAGCATTGAAACAAGTATACTATCAAGGATGAAACAGATCACCAGCCCAGGTTGGATGCATGAGACAAGTGCTCAGGGCTGGTGCACTGGGAAGACCCAGAGGGATGGAATGGAGAGGGAGGCGGGAGGGGGGATTGGGATGGGGAACACATATAAATCCATGGCTTATTCATGTCAATGTATGGCAAAAACCACTAAAATATTGTAAAGTAATTAGCCTCCAACTAATAAAAATAGATGGAAAAAAAAAAAGAAAGTTATTAAGAGAAAGTACCCAGCTCAGGATCTGATACAAAGTGGGAACTCAAGAAAGCTGGCTCAATTTCAACCTTGATATCTGAGTGCCTGGCCTCCTTCTGATAATTATAGGAGGCAGGTATTCTGAGTCGTGGGATGGGGAGGGGGTATGTGTGTATGGAGATGAGGGGGCAGAGAGAGAGTGAGTGGTCTTGGAAATAGAGACTTTTCCTCAATAGCTCATTGGCAGTTCCTGGCGGAGAATCTGCCCCGAAGGGACTCTGGCTGGGCCTGTGATGTGGATGAGAAAGAGAGTGGAATTGAGAGATGATAAAGATGAGCCCTTTTTAGGAAGCCCAGAGACCAAAGCTCCATGACCTGTCACTGAAGAAGATGGGATTGGAGCCCAAGTATGTCTGACTGAAGTCCATGCTCTTTTAACTTCCAGAGGCTGTTCAGACAGAAGGAGTGACCTTCCCAAGGGGACCAAGGACAACTCTCTTACTGTCCAGATACATCAATGGACACCGAAAACCCAGGTTGGCTGGTGTGATCCCAGACCCTACAAATTACTCAGGCTGCTGTCAGATTGTGATGCAAATAATGCTGACATGATGGGGAGCTCCCAAGCAAAGACTGCCCATTAAAAAAAGTCTCACATTGGGTAGAAATGTCCAGATCCTAGAACCCACGTGCTTCTCATTGGCTTAGATCTGCCCAGAGAGCACAGCCTCAGCCTGAAGTCTCTACAGCTGGAAGCTGTCACCTCTTGCTCCCCTAACAGTTCAAGGGCATGTTCGTCACTGCAGGGAGGTCTGCGTAGGGCTCACACAGTCCACGTTTTCCCTGCAGGGATACACTTCTCCAAGCTTTCCAGGGACTGCTCCTCCTGAAGTGGAGAGACTTGGGGAAGGAAGGTTAGTGGAACAAACGTCAGCTCCCATCATCGGAGCTGGTCTTAGAGTTTCAACTGGTGCTCATCATATCCCTCCTACAATGCCCATTTTGAATTCCCCTTCCCCTCCCCTTAAGCTATCACCTTGAGTGACCCAAGCCCTCCACCCTCATCCCAGGGCCTGTATTGTGATTCTTCCGTGGCTCGCCACAAACTTCACACCACCTCTTTTTCTACACTGGCACCTCCAGAAGCAGATCTGCTGGATCACATGGCCCAAGTGGCTGAGCTGCTTGCCCTGCAGCCTTGCTGCAGCGCCCTCTCTAGTTCTGGGCCCCACTCAAAGCTGGGAGCCCTTCATGTCACTCCGTATATGGACTGGAGCAGGATCTCTAGTATGGAATGTGTGCCTTCAGAACCCAAAATGGTCTAACTGGCACTGTGCTTCCTTCTTTATAGTAAAATGCAAAAGGCAGCCATTCATAAATGTTTGCAAGGCTTGTCTCCCACTCTCTAGAACAAAAGCCTCCAGTATACGAGCCACCTCTTGCTCATCCTCCTCGTTAGTGTGATGTCAACAATCTCACAGGTCAGTGTGATGATCTGCAGGATGCCCCAGTGGTCTACAGCTCTTTGGACTATACTGTGACAAGGAGCAAGAGGATTAACGTGGCCCTGGGATAAAACTATGAATGCATATTGTTGTCTATCCCATGTGAATGTGGACTGTTTCTGATCTTCTCTTCTGATTGGAATTGAAAATAACACATTGATCAAGTCAACAGCAGCACACCATGAACCTGAAGCCATGTTAATCTGCTGGAGCAGACTCTAGTTGAGCGTGGCAGCTGCACTTGGTGCTACTGTTTGGTAGAACTTCCAGTTGTCTACAGTCACACTCTAGGATCCATCTGGTTTCTGCCAGGACCAGACTGATAAACTAAACAGAGAAATTATAGGGACCACCACTACTATATCTTGAGATACCTAAGTGATAGCATTAATATCTGCCACCTCCTCTAGGGTACAATATTGATTTTGATTTACTCGCTTGGTGGGGAGTTGGGTATGGAGAGGAAGGAGGACAAATTCAGAGCCTTCCACTTGGCCTTCTCCACTGTGGTAGCTCTTACCCCACAGGTCAAAGGCCACATGTAAGAATTACACTATATACCAAGTATGTCAAGCCTGGTTAAACATTCAGAGATCAGAGAAATGAGTGGTCAGTGGTCTCACATCCCAATGGGTCTACTATAAGCTGGACCCTGATGAGGACTCCATTATTACTTGACCTTCAGAGTAGGTCCATAATGACACTTCCTGTTTCTGGGTGTCAGTGTCAACTCAGACTCTGGGTCCAATAGTCCTAGAAGTGTCTGGTATTCTCGTTTCAACTGTAAATTGATTCTGAGTAAATGGCCGTCAGGCCCTTTAGGGAAGGACTGGTGAGATCCTTAGAGGATGTGCTTGCCATTCAGTCCTCATTTGGATCATAAATTCTTGCTGCTCTCCCTCTGTAGGAAATAAAGACTTATTTGTAAACCACCCAAAA